TCTGGATCATTTTCCCATAGACAATGCCTTTGAGCTGAACTTCTTCAAAACCTTGAATGGCATCCCCATACAGAGACTTACAGGTCACAGCAGCCAACAGAAAGATTTGTTCACCTCTACAACCTTTGGATCAAGTCCTTAATTTGTTCAGAGCCAGCCCTGAAGTTCAGATCAGGATCTCACTCTCCCAGAAGTTACAAGAGCTGAGATCTAGCTGTAGACGTCTTTGAAACAACACCCATCCTACACGCTATTGCAGGCAATGGAGAGGTTTTTTTTGGAATGGCAAAACCCCAGCCCAAGGCCAAACTGAGAAGCTTATGCATCACTATTTTATATTCTGCACTAAATATTGCAAAATGTTAAATGTCTCAGAGCTGATGCCTGCTCTGTGGTGTGGGAAGTGTGTGCAGCGTAGACGGGACAAAACACGTTTCGCAGGGAGGGGCCAGACTACATAGGGCCAACACCTGCACAATAAACCCACCTGCACCAGCAAGTACCCTAACAATTGGACAGGGTCCACACTTCCCATTGTGCTGGACACTCTCATGTCTCCTGGCTCACAGACATCCAGACTCAAAGCACTAACAGCTCGGCCAACAAAGATCAGGTACACGATATCATACAATCATAGAAAAGTAGGGTTGGAAGGGAGCTCAGGTCACATCTCGTCCAACCCCCTGCTCAAAGCAGGACCAACCCCAACTACATCATCCCAGCCAGGGCTTTGTCGAGCTGGGTCTTAAACACCTCCAAGGATGGAGATGCCACCACTGCTCTGGGTAACCTGCTCCAATGCTTCACCATTGTATTGGACTGGTTAACAGCACAGTACTTTAATCAGATTTGGGGGATGCTACATTTTGCAGCCACTCAGTTGTGAACTATTGTGATTGTCAAGGGTTTGTAGGCTAGGACAATCCCGCTAGCAATCAGAGCAAATCCAGATCATCCACCATGCTACTTTGCAAAGTTAGAGAGGCGGATAAGCTTTGTTCAGAGAGGCATGGCCAAAATGAAGCTGTGCTGAGCCTAAAATAATAGAACATGGGCCAAATGCAACACTTAGCTTCTACTCGCTTCCCTGGGCCTGTGCCTTGAAAGTATCGCTGCAGGTAGACAAGGTTCTTTGGGTAGATGTGATATCTTTTATTAGACAAACTAAATAGCTGGAAAAATTGTTCTCTGCAAGCTCTGGAGCACAAAGACCTGTTCTGTTGTTTTGTGTTTTCCTGGATAACCCCAAGTAACCTCTCTACATTTTACCAGCTACACTCTAACACCAGGTCAACTCTCCCCCACCACCACCTGCCTCACACCTATTGTTTCCCATGGCCTCCAATCCTCACTGCCACACATTTGCATTTCCACAGAACTGCCTTTTGCATATTGGCTTCTCTTCCATCCAGGAGAGTGCAAAAACAACAGCAGACTCTCCCTATGCCTGAAGAAGGGCGTTTGTGCCCGAAAGCTTGCACAGAACAATGTTTCCAACTACGTAGTTGATTTCTTTTCAGTAGAGAGCACTGCCATTCGCACGCCACGCGCAGATTTTAAAAAATGCATCATAATTTCTCTAAACCTCCCCAGAATCTCTCTGGGTTTTGAGGGGGGAAATCCATAAATGGGCGTTTCTGCCCGAAAGCTCGCAAAGAAGATTTTTTTCCAACTATCTGAGTTGGTCTAATAAAAGATAAACAGATTTACCCAAAGAACCTTGTCTGCCTAAGATTTTGTTGGGGAGCTGAACCACACCATCAACATTTAGCAACTGGAACTGGCCATGGGGTACAATGGAAGTGTTCCAGGGGCAGCTGCATCGCTGCAGTGACGAGGGACTGAAAGGGAAGAGATCAGTCAGGCTAGGCAGATTTTTTTCTTCTTTTTTAAGTTACAGCCCTGGTAAATAAAGCAGAGATTCTGAGCCACAATGAACACCGTGCAGAGTTAGATGGCAGCTCAGACTTCAGAAGAGCCTGAAGACAGATAGGAAGCAGGTGCTCAGTCAACTGAAACAGCAATGGGTAAAGAAGATCAAGTTTCAGCAATACTTCCCCAGAAAGGAGACACAAATGCCAAGCCGGTGTGTGTACACTCACAGTACGCATGCGGATATGCACACATGTGGAAGAGGAAGGAGTAGGAGTTACGTGGGTTTGGAGCGGGGCGGGAGGAGAGATGAGCTAAAGCTTTTACGTCTCCAGAGATTAATTAGGACAATTCAGAAAAAGAAGCACTACCTTTTTATTTAACAGAAAGTTCAATGGCAATCTGCCTTGTGTGCAACTTTCAGGAAATGTCATTGTAGAGCGGTACTACAAGAACATGACCTTAAATGAAAGTGGAGTATTTTAATACCTTTACAGGGGGTACGAGCCAATCTGTGGAATTTGTCAGGGAGATGGACTGAGATTCAGTTTATAGGGATATTTTAAAAGTACTAGTGGCCTCCAGTTTATAATCCCAGTGGAGGCTGGGACGAGGATAAGAGTGCTGGCTGGGTTAATTTTACAACTTGGAGATCCAAAGCAGATGTAAAGGGGTGGAAAAATGAACCTTATAATCTTTTCCACCTCCCACTCCAAACAGATGAGACAGAAGATAAATGATGACCTTCTGAGAGTACAACAGGCCCCCAGCAATTCTTTGTCAGGCTCGTGTTTAGTGTTGGCTCTAGCTGCAGATGGATGCATGAAGAAGTAGTGCTGGGTGCAGGGCAGCAGTCTCATACCTTTCAATCCTTATTTTAATGACACTGTATGTCCTCATAATGCACAGAGTGAGAAGAGCTCCTTACCCTGTGAACTGTCAGCCGGTTGAGCAAGAGGGGTAGAGTGCTCTTTTATGACTCGATTTGCCACAGGAATGTAATCCTGTTGCCTGAAGCGGCTCTGAAATATCTCAGAAGTTCACCCCTCGGGGTCTGCAGCCTCCCCCTCTAGCTGTAGCTACCGCCCCTGCTCTTCCCAAGACAAAACATAAGGTGTTCGTCGTGGGAGACTCCATCCTGAGGGGGACTGAGAGGGCAATCTGCCGCCCCAACCCCTTATCCCAGGAAGTCTGCTGCTTCCCAGGAGCCCGAATCCAAGACATTGCAAAGAGGATCCCTGAGCTCCTCCAGCCCACTGACCACTACCCTATGCTCCTTATTCATACGGGCACAAATGAGCGCTCCCAGCCAGGTCATGATGAACTAGGTGACTGTGGCATCGATGCCTACACAGTCAGATGGATTGCAGATTGGCTGAGGGGTCGCACTCAGAGGGTGGTGGTGGATGGGTCATATTCGACCTGGGG